ACTATAAAGTCTAATTAAATTAATTTCACTGATTATTTGTGAAATTTCTCCTAAAAAATAATGGCTATACAATTGAAAACGTAAAATTCCAAGTGGGCTTAAGCTCCTAAATATACATAGGAATTTGGATATATTTATGGCCTCTTTGTTAGTTGACTTAGTAGATGTAGAAAATCTAGAATTCAATGAAAAATATATGGAACAGAAGTGTAGGAAAAGATAACATAATTTATAGCAAAGAATGTCTAACATTTTATTTCGCCCTCTTTCCAAGAGACTTCTTTTTCTTTCTTTTGATATTAATCTTTCCATTAAATATTACATTAAGTATTAAAAAAATTAAGTTTTTGTTATAAATCAATGGAATAGTGGATTGTTCCTATGCTTTCTTCGTGAACATATTCTATCATGTATCTACATTTTCAAGGTGGCATAAACCTTTGTAGATAATTATGTACCTATTAATTGGTATGCACTTGAATAAGAAGAAAAGTCATCTTCTTCTATCTACTTCTCTTTATAATTATATTCTTATGAGCTTGATTTTATAATACGTTATTAAGCATGATATTCTAGCCAATTGAGATTAACTATTAGTTTTTTTTTAGCTCATGTTATAGTTGATCTTGTTATCAGAATCAATCTATTATATGCATAAAATCATATATGTATTTTCTAAGATCTTTTTATGATTTAGAATACAATAGTAGTGTTCAGTCACTAACATTAACCAGGAACCAAAGACATATACTACTATTGGTTGAATATGACATGCTATACAAAGTTTCTTAAATGGAAGAAGACATAAAGTTTTAATAACATGAATTTGAATATTATTTTGATTATTTTGAAATACTCAAAGGGTGAGTTATATTGTATTTCGTTCTATTATACTGTTGGTTGAGGGTAAGATGGTGTATTCAAGCCCCATCACACCAAAAAAAGGATAAGACATCAGGTTAAAGTCTGAATACATCATAATTAATATTTAAGGATAAGACGGTAAATTCAAGTTCTATCGCACCAAAAAGGTAAGACATGAATTTGAGTTTTGATGAACCATAATTATAAGGTATTGGGTCTAGTCTCATAGATTTATGACCTAAAATGAGTTTGAGTCTCAATGCACCATAGTGATGATAAAATGAGGACCAAGGCAAAAATAATATATTTTGATTAAAATCTATGAAATTCATCTTACTGAATTTGCTCCATTCCTTGAAAAGAATGTGGTAGCAACATATGATAACTTTAAAATCCGCCTGTTGATTTGCTCCATTCTTATAAATGTGGTAGCAGTAAATAATTAGTCTGAAAGATGACAAATGATTAACGATATGAAAAAGAGCGTGAAGGGACATAATAATAGTCATCATTGTGGTAATTATAAAAGGAAGAACACTATGGGTTCTTCAAATAGTCCTTGAAATGTGAATGCAATTTTTATTATCAAAATATTGTGAAAGGTCATTGGACTTGTGAATGTTCTCGACCCAATAATTTGACAAGTTTATAAATCATCTATCAAAAGACAAGAAGATAAAGTGATGGTACACTTGATCTTTCAAAGCGATGTTAAGGTGTGTCATGGAAATATGATGAATTTTAAAGCCATGACAATGTGCTTATAATGCAAAATTTCTGAAGTACATATAAATGAATAGTCCATTCCTTGAAGACAATGTGACTTGTAATGAGTATCGTGAATGCTCGATCATTCTATAAAAGAATGTGACAACATGTGATAAAATCATTATGGGTTGGATATATATCACAACTCACCCATATGGGAGGTTTGAGAAAAAATTATATATGTCACAACTCATCTCTACGAGACGTTTGAGAAGAATAAATAAATTTTATTTGATAGAAATGATCAATGGTCGTGTACGTGTAAACGTAATAAATATTACGGTATGTTTATTTGTGAACTACCAAAAAGACAAAAGAAAGAAAAACTCTTGCCTAAAAAGGTTGTGCCATGACCAAAATGATATTATTGTGTGGCAATACAAATTTGTCATTGGTTGTGCACCTATGGTACAACAAAATTAAATCAAGAAACATGTCTTGCTCGTAATAATTTTGACCATGACAATAATAATATAATTTCTCATTGAGGAAATGTTCACATTATGGATGGTGTCATGAAATATGTGATAGTACACAAAATTAATTGTAAGCTCTAACGAGTTGTACTATTCTCATAGGAATGATATTGGGGTTGTAGTAAGTCTCAAAAGAAACTTTCAAGTTTCGGATGAATTGAAAAGAAATGTTGAGATTATAAATCATGAAAAGATTTAATATCTTTAGATTACTACAGCCGAAACAGGTTATAAATATTTGTGTAAAAGATTATCCATTTTTTCCTCTTTTTTGTTGCACACAAATATGGACGTGCTTATGGAATCACATGCAAAAGTAAACTACAAGTGTACTGAAGTAAAGATTAATTGGCATGATCAGTTGACCATTCTGATTTAAATGTGATGCAAATGTAATTGAGAATTCAGGTGACTTATATGATGAAGAAATAAAAGATTCTTCAAGAAATAGGTGTTGCTTGTTTACTTAATAAAATGATTATTGTACTAGCTAAGGTTGGATTGTAATCTCCTGAAATTTTTAGAACATATAAAAAGGTGAATATGGGCTCATTCAGCTGCCATGTGGATCATTTGCAACTATATGATAGATGTATCTATGCGATGATCACATATGATTTGTTGTCAACTTACAAACTTGTGTCTGTAAGGTTGTTTGCTCGAATTGTTAAATTAAGAGCAAAATTTCAAATTATGAAATTATATTGATAATGCTGGTTGATTTAGCAGAAATTGTATGCCTTCAATTATAGCTAAATATTGATTATGAGAACAAAACTCCAAATAAGATTTGGTATGAGATAATTTTATTTAACATGTAGCAACATAAGTATGCATCAAGCCAACAAGGTTTATCTATTAAAATTGGTTCAGGGTAAGGAACCAAATAATTTTCATCTAAAATGTTGAATGTGTGGTTATGATTTTAATTGTTCAATCACGCACAAAGATGAATTCTCAAAAAGGTTGGAATGAATGTTAGATTTTCTAGCATTAGGGGGAGAGATGATTCACAACTGAAAATTCTGTGTGAGGTTAATTATGAATTATCTAGCCTCATTAAATAAATATGTGAACTTAAAGTTCAAGGGATAATTCATTTGCATAATATTGTAAATCAATGCCACATGAATGTACTGATCATATGATACAATTCTACTGTAAATGTTCCAATGAGAAGTCCTTGAAGAACAGAGTCTATGATACGCCGGAAGTATAATAGACCAATCGGTTCCAAATATAAAATTCTTTGAAGAAGGAGAGGATCAAATGATCAATATGATCATGATAATGAGACAAGTGACATAAAAGAAAACCACGACATAACACTTCATAAAACCTCAGAAAAGATTCAGGTACCTGAAAAATGAAGAGATCTTCATAAGTTATGTCATATTGGAATCGATATCAAATAACTGTCGACGGTATCTTTGATATGAAGTAGCGCTCAATGATATAAATTGTGATGGGGATATTGAATTCAAATTTGTAATCGAGTGTGAACAGATAAATGATTGACAAAGTAAAATGCATAATTCAAGTATATTTTGTTTCACTTAGAAAAGTGATGTTTTGGATTGATAGTCCATAAATCGTGGTATAATGTCAGTGGGTACAAATAAATAATTATGCGATAGTATAACTATAATATATAAAGTACGGTTTATGCCTTGGGGCATAAAGATTTTTCGCAAAAGTCCTGACATTATTGAAGATATTTTCTCCTATGGTAGATTTAATAATGTTTATTTTGATCTGACAACATATCTAAAACTTGAATGCATATAATGAATAATTGTCATGTCTAGCTAGACGATGAAGGTTATATGAAGATCTTTAAAGCAATCGAGGTATACGCAACATATAAAAGTTTGAAAGAAGTTTTTTCAATAAAGCTTCAAGAATCCTTAAATGGATTGAAATAATCAAGGAAAAAAAGGGTACAAAAGGAATGACTTACATTTTTATGAAAAGATCAGGATTTGAATTTGTCATTATAGTGGTGTATGTTGATAACTTGGACGTCATTAACACTCTTAAAGAGCTTCCAAATGTTGTTGAGTGTTTGAAAGGGTGAAAAGGTATTAGTAAGACAGACGTTGTCTTGACCTACAGATTAATAATTTGACAAATGAAATATTTTTTCATCAATCAACATACACAGAAAGGTTTTGATTCGATTTTTATACGGATAAATCACATTCATTGAGTACCCCAATGATTATGAGATCACTTGATATAAATGATTATTCAGTTTTATCTCAAAAGAAGGATGAAGAACTTCTTGATGATAAAACTTCATATCTTAGTGCAATCAAGACACTAGTGCATCTTGCTAACAATACTCGATTAGATATTTGTTTTGCAATAAATTTACTGCCAAGATTTAGTTCCTCCCCAACAAAAAGACATCGAAATGAGGTTAAACACATACTTGAATATCCTCAAAGGATCATAGTTATAGGTTTATTCTATTTTGAGGAATCTAACACAGAATTGATTGGTTACGCAGATGCAGAATTTTTTATCGAATTTGTATAAAGTTTGATTTCAAGCACATTATTTATTTGTATGTGAAGGCACAATAATATCTTGGTGATCAATGAAGCAAATGTTGGTTATCACTTCTTCAAACATGCTGAAATAAAAGTCCTTCATGAAGCAAGTTGAGAGTGCGTATGGTTAAGATCAATGACACACCATATTTAGAAAGTTTGTGGTTTATCGTTAAAAAAAATATACCACAATGTACGAAGATAATCAACTGAAAGTGCCCACAAGATGGTTGTTGCTATAAAAAAATTGAATGAGCAATTTACTTGCAACAATAAGGTCATGACGAATAGAATGATATTCAGTAATGTATTTGGCTAAGCTCAAAGCCTCGTCATATTCATCAAATCAGAAAATAATATATCAGGATGAGTTCAACAATGCAACATGTGACGCCCAAAACGAGTCGTGAGTGGCACCCACACTTAACCTCCTAAGTGGGTGAACCAACCAATTTAACCTAACTTACAAAATACAAGCATACTACGGAAACTCAAATGTTACTAAATTTCATTTCCCAAAACCTGAAAGTCATCACATCAAGGACACTCAAATGTTACTAAATTTCATTTCCCAAAACCTGAAAGTCATCACATCAAGGACATCTAATCTCCAATAATAAGTCTAAGAATATCAAATACACCAAAATAAAAGAATAAAATGCTATGTGTCCAAAAGTATAGAACATCATGTCATGACCGAAAGAATCCAACATGAGCTTGAAGGAATAGCTAAACCTGGAACCTGATATGCGGGAGACTGGCTGGAGCTGAGGGAAATCTGAAGTCATTGGTACACTCGTTGCATTTTATTGGTACACTACCTACATTTCATAAAAGGAAAACAAAGAAAAACACAAGTAGGACTCAGTACGGGGCAACATATTCTGAGTAGGTATCATCGGACAACCAAAAATAGAAAATAATATACAATGAATAATAGTATGAACTCAACTATAGCACTTAACAAGTGATAAGCAACAAACAACATGAACAAGTGTCAACAACATTAAAGTAAGCACGTAATAAGTCAACAATATCAAGATCACACATGAGGACTCATGCCTCCAAATCAAACCATTTCGGGAGTTGAGTTCTTTGAGATTGAGTACCTTTCATTAAGTCAACATGTTTTATCTTTAATATTATCGTGTCGGAACGTGACATTTAGATCCAAGAATACCGTGTCAGAACGTGACACTCCGATCCAATAATATCATTATTTTATCATATGATATCACCACCACTTTTCCATTCGTTAATAATATTTCATCGAGCCTTCTTTATTCAAGTCATCACTTCGATAAAGAGGGTTCAAGATTATAAACTCCACGGTCTTAGGATTTCAGACCAATTACAAGCCACATAACCACACAATCAAGCACATAGAAAACTTCACAATATCATTCAATGCATATCAATCACTATTGAAAGTTTACTATCAAATAGCATAAACCATAACCTACCTCCACCGAAGTCAAGCAAGCTAGTTCCTCAATGTCATTTCATTCTTCAGTGCCTCAGAATATTTATTTCGCTGTGAAAAGTGATACCACAAAAGCAAGCTGTTATCCACGAATTTGGAATCATGATCAAAACCTCTAACTCTCTCCTAATTCTCAAAATAAAATTTTTTTTTTCTTTGCTTTTTTTCTCTGTATTTCAATCTGCATATCTATGTGTGGTCATAATGTTTGGCCTATGTTTTCCAAGCAATCATGACGTGGTGCAGAGAAGATTTTAGCTCATCTTTTTCTTTTATAATAATTAACATTAAAATAATCATAATTCTCATATTAAAATTAATGTAAATCCCCTCCCCCAACCAAAATATTCATCACAGGAGTGAACAGAAAAGCTCTTTCATTCCTTCCCTAAATGCTTTAGATATTATATCATCATGAAAAGAGATATTGTTTCGACATTTATAGCAGCTTACAAGCAAGGTCCAACTAATTCATCAATTCGACAAAAATTCAATGACAAATTCCTCACTGATCACTTACCCAAGAAATTCAAATAACCAAATCCTTAAAAGAGAAAATGCTTACAACTCATATAGGTTTAACTTGCACGACATCGATATAAATTCTTATGGGGATTTAATGAAACTACCAATCACGAAACAGAGAAAAAATTAAAGCTACCAACATGAAGATCAGTAAGGGATAAAGATGAAACAATTACGTAGGTATTCTTTGCTTGAGTTGATTTTTTTGAAAGATGAAAGCTCACTCTTGTGCACAACAGTCTATTTCATGGCCGCTTTCACTTCGTCCTCTTCTACAGATTATTTTTACCCTAATTATTATATGACTCGTTATAAAAATAGGGAAAGTGATCCACTATCAATTTTAAGATTATTTTTTTTAATCACCAACTAACTCAAATATTAAACTATCTCATTAATTCTAGGGAAAATGCACAAGTACCCCCTCAACCTATGCCCGAAATCCCAGAGACACATTTATACTATAATAAGGTCCTATTACCCCCTGAACTTATTTTATAAGTAATTTTCTACCCCTTTTTATCCTACGTGGCGCTAGTTTGAAAAAAAAGTCAACCATTGTTGGACCCACAAGATAGTGCCACGTAGGCTAAAAAGTGTCACGACCCAAAACCGGGCCGCGACTGGCACCCACACTTACCCTCCTATGTGAGCGAACCAACCAATCTAACCTTAACATTTCAATGCAATAACAACAGAAAATAATGCGAAAGACTTAAACTCGTTAGTAAAATCAACAATCAACTTCTATAACTCAAAAACTTATCATTATCCCCAGAATCTGGAAGTCATCACCACAAGAACATCTACAATCAAATGACTAAACTAAGAGTATTCTAAAAGCTAAAAATACATAAGGAGCTAGTCCGTGCCGGAGATTCAAGGCATCAAGACATGACGGAGGAGATCCAGTCCAAGCTAGAAGCGTTAGCTCACCCTGAAGATCCGGTGTGACGAAGACTGGCTTGAATTACTGTTGAGTCGAAGATGACGGCACGTTTGCTGCATTCCACAATTAAACAAGAAGAAAACAATAAAAGTAGGGGTCAGTACAAAACACGGGTACTGAATAGATATCATCGGCCAACTCAAAATAGGGAACAGTATATATCAAGTATTATCATAAATCAACTATAAAACGCAACATGTAACAACAACAAGTACTATAATCATCAATAAGTACCATCAAATTCACACATGAGGACTCAAGCCCCAATACCATACTCATTTGGGAATCATGTTCGTTAGATTGAGTATATTAACATCTTTCAAGATTCATTATCTTTCCTCCTCTTGTGTCGGTTCGTGACACTCCGCTCCCTCATATTCATTATTCCTCTTGTGTCGGTACGTGACACTCCGATCCCTCATATTCATTATTCCTCTTGTGTCGGTACGTGACACTCCGATCCCCTAAATCTACGTGTCGGTTCGTGACACCCGATCCCCTAAATCTACGTGTCGGTTCGTGACACCCGATCCCCTAATTCTACGTGTCGGTTCGTGACACCTGATCCCCTAATTCTACGTGTCGGTTCGTGACACCCGATCCCCTAAATCTACGTGTCGGTTCGTGACACCCGATCCCCTAATTCTATGTGTCGGTTCGTGACACCTGATCCCCTAATTCTACGTGTCGGTTCGTGACACCCGATCCCCTACATGTGTCGGTACGTGATACTCCGATCCACTAATATCATTCTGTAAATCATCAAGCCTTCTCCATACCAAGGCATCATCAATCCCATAACTTTAATTCATCAAGCCTTCTTCTATACCAAGGCATCATCAATCCCATAACTTTAATTCATCAAGCCTTCTTCTATACCAAGGTATCATCATTAATAATGTATATTAAAGTTTCTTTTCAAGATTTGGGATTCAATATTTTCATCATGCTTATCTTATCGCAATCACATAATCATATTCATGCAAACATACAATTAAGCATATAGTAGGGTTTACAATACTACCAATACATATCATTCTCTATTAAGAGTTTACTATGAAAGCATGAAAACCATAACCTACCTCCACCGAAGATTAGAAATCAAGCAAGCGAGTTCCCAAAGCTTTGTTCTTCTTCTCGTTTCTCCTCTTTCTCGTTCGTTTCTCTTTCTTTTTCTGTCTCTCTTTGTTCTTTCTATTTTTCTTATTCAACCCTCTTCCTTTTACCCTAATTAGTATATAATTAAGAATAAAAAGTGGCAATAATACCCCACTAATTAACTTAGGGTTAACTCTTTTAACCCTCAAGAATTTGAGTTATTAATATAAACCCACGAAATCTATAATGAAGGAAAGAATAGTCCAAAAACGTCCCTTAAAACTTCACCAGAAATCCGACTCTGCCTGGGATTTGCGCAACCTGTGCCGGGCCGTCGTGCCTGCGACGGTCCGTCCTGCAGGTCGTCGCAGAGTTCAGAGACCCAAATTTCCACCAAGGGTCTGTGACGGTCCGTCACACCTGTGACGGTCCGTCACACCTGTGACGGTCCGTCCTGCCATTCCGTAACAAAGTTCAGAGAGTTGATTTTCGGTACCCAATTTCAGATTTTCCAAGTGTTTTGAAACGTTGGATCACGACGGTCCGTCACACCTGTGACGGTCCGTCCTGCCATTCCGTCACAAAGTTCAGAGAGTTGATTTTCAGTACCCAATTTCAGATTTTCTAAGTATTTTGGGACGAGACCCCCTCGACGGTCCGTCGTGCCCATGACGTTCCGTCGTGGGGTCCGTCGCTTCTGCCAGTTTTTCCAGAATTGAAGTCTGTTGCTCAAAACGACTAAATGGGTCGTTACATTAGATACCAATTTACCCATCGTTCGTCCCCGAACGATCAAAAGAAGGAAAACAAGGGCGAAAAGGAGTACCTGAATCTGTAAACAGATGTGGGTATTTTTCTCGCATATCCGCCTCCTTCTCCCAAGTGGCTTCTTCAACCGGTCGATTCTTCCATTGCACCTTGATGGATGCAATCTCTCTTGACCTCAACTTGCGAACTTCTCTATCTAAAATAGCAACAGGCTCCTCCTCATAAGACAAGTTCTCATCAAGCAAAACTGAATCCCAACGGATAATGTAATTTCCATCCCCATGATATCTTTTCAACATCGACACATGGAATACCGGATGTACTCCGGACAGCCCTGGGGGCAAGGCTAACTCATAAGCCACTTCCCCTACTCGCTTGAGTACTTCAAATGGTCCAATGTACCTTGGACTTAGTTTACCCCTTTTTCCAAACCGCATCACCCCTTTCATGGGCGAAACTTTCAACAAGACTTGTTCACCTTCCATGAACTCTAAGTCTCTAACCTTTCGATCTGCATATTCTTTTTGTCTACTTTGCGCCGCTAGAAGCTTTTCTTGAATAGACTTCACTTTTTCCATCGAATCCCTCAAAAGGTCAGTACCCCAAGGTCTAACCTCGAATGCATCAAACCAACCAATGGGAGACCTACATCTCCTCCCATACAATGCTTCAAATAGGGCCATATCAATACTTGAGTGATAGCTATTGTTGTATGAAAACTCCGCTAAGGGTAGGAAGCTATCCTAGTGACCACCAAACTCTATCACACACGCACGAAGCATATCCTCCAACACTTGAATCGTCCTTTCAGACTGGCCATCGGTCTGAGGATGGAACGCAGTACTAAGGTCCAACCTAGTACCCAATTCCGCATGCAATGTTTTCCAAAACTTAGAAGTAAACTGCGTACCTCTATCTGATATGATGGATAGTGGAACCCCATGCAATCGCACCACTTCCGAGATGTAAAGTTTGGCTAACTTTTCTGCATTGTAAGTCACCTTGACCGGAATGAAATGAGCAGATTTAGTTAACCTATCAACAATCACCCAAATGGAGTCATACTTACCCATTGTCCTCGGAAGACCAACCACAAAATTCATTGCAATTCTTTCCCACTTCCATTCCGGAATGGGCATTCTCTGAAGTGTTCCTCCGGGCCTTTGGTGTTCATACTTTATTTGTTGACAGTTTGGACACTTAGCAATAAAGTCAACAATATCACGCTTCATTCTACTCCACCAAAAGTGTTTTTTTAGGTCACGATACATCTTGGTTGCACCCGGATGTATAGAATACCTTGAACTATGAGCCTCTGTCAGAATAGTGTTGATCAAATCATCGACGCGGGGTACACATACCCTTCCCTTGATTCTCAAAACACCTTCCTCATCGATTTGTGCTTCCTTAGCCTCCCCTCGCAATACTTTATCTTGAATTCTTCTTAGTTTCTCATCATCAAACTGTTTTCCCTTAATTTTGTCAAGAAAAGAAGATCTTGACTCCACACAAGCCAACAATCCTCCCTTCTCATTTACTTCTAATCTCATCAAGTCGTTAGCTAGAGTCTGAACCTCTCTATCTAATGAGCGTCTAGAGGCTTGCAAGTGAGCTAGACTTCCCATGCTTCCTGCTTTTCTACTTAAAGCATCCGCCACAACATTCGCCTTCCCCGGATGATACAAAATGGTGATGTCGTAGTCCTTCAGTAGTTCCATCCATCTTCTCTGTCTCAAGTTCAAATCTTTCTGAGTAAAGACATACTGAAGGCTACGATGATCCGTGTAGACATCACACTTAACCCCATATAAATAGTGTCTCCATTGCTTTAATGCAAACACTACCGCAGCCAATTCCAAATCGTGGGTTGGATAGTTACATTCATGCACTTTTAATTGCCTCGAAGCATAAGCAATCACACTCTTCTCTTGCATTAGTACTGCACCCAAACCCGAATAGGATGCATCACAATAAACAATGAAGTTCTTACCCTCTACTGGTAAGGTAAGGATAGGTGCGGTAGTCAACAAAGTCTTGAGCTTCTGAAAGCTTTCCTCACACTCATCCGACCATACAAATGGAACATTCTGCTTAGTCAAGTTCGTCAATTGGGAAGCAATAGAAGAGAATCCCTTGACAAATCGACGATAGTAGCTAGCTAACCCAACAAAGCTCCTTATTTCTGACACATTAGTAGGTCTCACCCAATTCTTCACTGTCTCAATCTTAGAAGGATCCACCATCACTCCATCCTTAGAAACCACGTGCCCCAAGAAGGACACCGCATCTAGCCAAAACTCACACTTAGAGAACTTGGCATAAAGCTTTTTCTCCCTCAATATTTCCAATACCATTCTCAAATGCTCTTCATGTTCCTTCTTGCTCTTTGAGTATACTAGTATATCATCAATAAATACGATCATGAAGAGGTCCAAATATGGTTTAAAAATCCCGTTCATCAAGCTCATGAACGCAGCAGGGGCATTCGTTAGACCAAAAGACATC